AGCTCCACTTTCCTTTGTACCCCCATAGAGTCCTGGGCTTCAGGATGGTACTGAAAAGGACTCCAAATAGTCAAGTTTTTATAGCAGTTGTTACTGTGTGCTAGAAATTTTCCATAAAAACATTAATATACTAGAATTCAAGTAAAAAAAGAAATTTGCTTATAAAATGAGCATTTGTTGTACTGTACCATGAACTTGGGTAGGAGTGTGTCTGTGCTACAGATTTCAAATGAAACTTAGAAGAGTGGGACCTGGGAACCAAGGTCCCTTAAACTTCACTGAAAACCCTCACCTTGGTGCTTTGAAGAAATAGCTTTTTATTGCATAGTTGTATTTTACCTCAAAATTGCAGAATTTTAGGATGTTGGGTGTCTGGCTTGAGACCCACCACAAATGAAACTGACCTTATAATAACCTTTAAAAATCCAAACAACCCAACAGCCTATGTGAGAAACTGCCACAACTATTTTGGCAACATTTACCAGTCTAAAAGTCAGCCTTTTAGGGCTGACCTAGCATGAAGAGTGAACCACATGCCAAGCCATAATTTTCCTCCTCCTTCCAAAACTGCAATTGTCTCATTTTTTTTAAACCACAACCCCGTGTTTTAAGTCCAGCAGTGAATGTTAACAAAGCCTTGACCTGCAGAGGGCTAATTTCCATGGGGACCATTAAAGGAGAAAGACTTTTCTATAAATGCCAGGTTCTGTAAACTGAGAAGTTCATCACTGCAATACTTAGAGTAGTGTGGAAAGTGCCAGGCATGGAATTCAGAACCCCTTATTAGAGGGTGAGATTCTGCCTCCAGAGTCAGGTAGCAGAGGGTAGAAACAGAGCAATTTAAAAGGTTTTAGTTGGGAATGAAAAATTCTGTCCTTTGGCATCTTTGCTATTTCATTGTCTATGGTGCTGAATCCTCTGCTAAGCTAGGTTTTTGGTCCGCCTCTCAAAAGCTAAGAGGACTCTCTAATTTATAGCATAATGCCAGAAGGAACTTCAGTGGCATTGGTCCGCTTTTGTTTTGGAATTGCATAGGAAAAGGGAGAGATCCCAAATGTTGCATGAAAAGAAAATAATTGAGTGCTTTTTCCACAACAGAAGACACCCATCACCAGAATTTCAGTCACATGACAAGAGACACATATTTTTCCTCTCTCCCTACCCTGCTACACTCTTTTGCTTACATTCCATCCTCCCAGCTGGTGCAGGAAAGATGATATCCCAGCAGACAGAGCTCAGGGAGCAGAAAAGATATTGAAATTCAAATCCAAGTGTGGATTCATTGGGGAAATGGATGCTTTTGCTTCCCCTACTTTTAGTCCCCATATGATCTGATGTGGTTCATCTTTCAGCTTCCCAATCTGCCTTTTTCAGCTGGAGGCTGCAGTTATTGCTCTCCTGCACCATATAACAAATAAGGTTGCAGTTAGGTGGTGCTTAACTTTGCTGATGCAAGCTAAAATGGTTACCCTAGGGCAATTTTCACATAGAACCCCAGATAGATTAGAAGTTTCCTCTGAAAGGCAGAAACTTACTAATTACCCATTATGTAGGACTTACCATGACAATAGATTTGAACGAAGTCATAAAAACAGGGTTTACATCCTCTTTTAAGTACCTTAGGTCCTATTTTAGATCTGGATCTAGGCAGGTAGGAGCAAGAGAACTTCCTGCAGTAATAATGCTCATTTCACATCCTCAGTGTTTGGTTTTGAGAACAGAATGCCTTACTTTTTTGGCATCTTTGAAGATCCAAAGTCTCCTGATACATTTGTGTCTGGGTTCTTGCCACCACTGCTATTAAATGAAAGGTTTGAAATTTGAGGAAATTTAACTTAGAAATATTTTCACTATTATCTTTCTCTTTGAATTGATATCACAGCATCACAAGTATAATAAAGTAATTAAAACTTAACATCTCTTTTTTCAAGAAATAGTAGAGAGGACTTAATGTGAAGTACAGGTAACAGAGAAAACATAAGTAAGGGGCAGGAGTTAACACCTCATTCATTTAAACCTTTTAAATGCTTGGAATTTAATATAGAGAAGTCTCCTTTTCACCATAATTATCTGAAAGACCAGAATAAAACAGAGTTAAATGGGGCAAATATATAAATAAGAGAACCTACAGTTTGCGGTAGCTTTACTTACTATCTTAATTATATATTTCCTTTGAATGTTTCTTTTTTCCCTCCCTGGGACAGATGGAATAAATTAATCTTAAATGCAGCATAAAATCTATTCCAGATCCCCTCGTATGCCAGTGTTTAAACAAAACTAACTAGAATAATAAAAGTCAGAAATGGAAAAGATCTATTAGCTGACCACCTAAAATTTTATATACAGAAACGTATCAATTTAACTAAACCTATTTCTAAATATTTAAGGAGGTTTGGTTACATCTTAAATCAGTTCAACAGTGGCCAGAGTCAGTTTATTTCACTTTGAAACCACTCTTAAAAGCAAATAAAAGTGACCTGCTTTAAAGCACAGTTGCACTAGCTAAACAAATGCATGTGTGTAGGCTAAGAATCAGAAAAACAAGCAGGTCTGTCCAATCCTGGCAACAGAGACTACAACACCACTTTTGTGATGGCCATGGGCATGTGATGCCCAGGGTTGTCCATGGCCATTGTAGTGATGGAGAATAAAATAATTATCTGAGTTGGGAATCAAGAATTGTTGTCTCAGTTTTGCCTCTGTCCAGCTTCGGGGGAATCCCCTAATGACACAGAATATCTGAAAATATTAATGCCTCCTACCTGAAAGTGGTGATTCAAATTTTAGCAAGCTGGGAACCAGACAAGTGCAGAATTTTGGTCCCAGTCCTAAAGAAACTGTATGAATTTCATCTTGTGAGTAAATCGTTTTGGATGGCAGTTTACCAGTCACAATGCACAGAATAGGTTGTTTCCATATGTTCTCAATTACTGTGTAGGTGCCTGCACAGGACTGTTCTGTATGAGCCCCATTTATAGCGTTTTGTCCAAACCAGCTTTTAACAACTTGCTGGGGGGAGAATGGAAGAGGGATTATTAAGGGGGCTTATTCCATACCTAAATCCTTATATTTATGGGAATGTTAATGTGAAATTCTCCACATAAAATGAGAACTCATTTATCCGCTTTCAAATTGACATGCATGCAACCTATGCATGCATGCAACCAGACAGTCAAAACAGATCAAACACCAACTTTCCTATACTACAATTTTTTTTTCCTAATTCTTGATGAATAGTAGAAGCTGAAAGTTTCCTCTAAAAATCTCTGAAGACACTCAGTGGGCTGACCTTCTGTGGTGCTGAGAGGCCACAGGACAACACATGAGTTCAGTGTCTCTCCAAGATGGAGCAAAGGAAATTCTCTAGTTTCATAATAAGCACTTTGGGGTTCGGTACTGACGTGTTGTTCCTACAACAAGGCAACACCACCTTGACAGCTCTTCCCAAGGTGTTCTCCTTTCTTTTTATTTCACAAGAGTCCTACCATCCTACCTACACCCAGATTATTTTAGAGAATCTGGACCATTGCAGACAACAGTAGCATGAACTACACACAGCCTGTCAAACAGTGCTAGGTGTCACTATTATTTTGTGCTGCCATATACAACTTGAGAGACCACTGGCAGACTTGATGTAAAGGACAGCAGTGCCATGCAATGTAGAGATGGAAATAAAAGCACTGGTGGCAAACTAAACCAGTTGAGCATTTATTAGACCAATAGAAGGTTGGTTTGTGTGGTATAACTTTGTATTCTGGTCAGTTTTATGTCTTTAGTGTCAAGATTTCCCCAATTTTTCTTATTTCTTGTAAGACATAAATAAGAAAAGGAATAAGAAAATAATTTTTTTATTAAAACAACTTTTTTTTTTCTTTTTTTACTTCTGACCACTTTCTCCAAGAGCCTACAGCTAATATAAATCTGGTGATTGTTAGAGATTTTCCAAAAGAAAATTCCAACTCATCAAGGCATCTTCCACAAAACATTAAAGGAAGAAGCCTCCAAGTATGGGGTAGATTAAATTGTCCCACAATATCTACATTGTGGGGAACACAGAGCACCCCATCCCAGTTGTGTGCCTGAGCATTTGAATCTGATTCAGAAGAGACAAAGAGTTGGTCTCCCAAGTTAGAGAGCAGAGGTAACAAATCAGTTCTGCCCTATCCCCCCTTGTAAGATCTGAATCGACTCAGTGGATTAAGGGAAGATATTTTTTCTTCCCACCAACTTTTTTTTTTTTTTTTTTGGCTGGGTGAGATCTTGGTTCACATCTACATGGATGGATATTTATATTTCTGTAAGTGATGATGAAAGAGATTGGTGTTGAATTCCAAAAACAATAATAAATAGACAACAGGAGTGCAACCAAAACTTTTCCCTTCACTCTCACCTTACAGACACTACCACTCATCTTTTCTACATCAGCATTTCCTCACAAGCAGCATTCAAAATGGTTCTAACGCTCCTTTTACATCATTACAAAAATTCTCATCAGGTTGGAAACGACCCGTCGCCCGTTTCTGTGTGTAATTTCAAAGTTATTGTTGTATTCGATGTAATGAACAAGTGCCAGGCAGCACTGAGGGAGGCTGGAGGAAGCTCAGCTCCGTGAAAGACTTCAAATAAAAGGCTGTAACAGCGGAAGTTCCGAGGCCGCACGGATAGTGAGAACGTCCTTACACCAACAGTCTCTCTTAACTTCCACTGGACACGGGCGCTGCACCTTTAGCCCAGGAAGCACTGAAGTGCCGCGGTGAAGAGCTGACGCAGTTTCTGAGCCGGCAGCCGCGCCGGCTCTGCCCGCGGGCCGGGGCGGCCGGCTCTGCCCGCGGGCCGGGGCGGCCGGCTCTGCCCGCGGGCCGGGGCTGCCGGCTCTGCCCGCGGGCCGGGGCTGCCGGCTCTGCCCGCGGGCCGGGGCTGCCGGCTCTGCCCGCGGGCCGGGCTCGCTGGAAGCAGCGGGCGCGGCGGGCGGCGCCTCCCGCGGCGCGGGGCGGGGGCCGGGCCGGCCGAGCGGCCGAGGCTCTCGCCGCTGCTCTCGCTGCTCTCGCCGTGGGTGCCGCTGCTCTCGCTGCTCTCGCTGTCGCGGCTCTCTCTGCCGCACACGCCGGGCGGCAGGGCGGGCGCGGAGCCCCCAGCCCCGCCATGGAGAAGCAGCCCGGCGGCGAGGACGAGTGCGTGGACTCGGGAGCGGAGACGGGCGGGTGAGTGCGGCGGCTCTCCCGGCCGGCGGCAGCTCCCGCCCGGCCCGCGGGCTGCACTTGTTGCCGGCGGCGGCGGGGCCGGGGCAGGGCTGGGGCGGCGGCTTCGTGTCCCGGGCAGAGCTTCCCTCCGGCAGCGGGGCCCGGCGCCCCGGGAGCATCCCGCTCAGCGCCGAATCTCCTTGCCTTGCGTTGCCCTTCCTTTCCTGCCCTCCTGGGACTCGGTCCGGCGTGACCCCGAGGGGGCATCACCCTGCTCCGACTGCCCCGGGGAGGTCGCGTTCCCCCTCGGTGAGGCAGTCCCCACCGTCCTCCCGCTACACACGGGGAGGAGGACACGGACAGGTCTTTAAGTTTGAACTCCAAAGTGCTCTGTGATGGCTCGGCTCCGCGGGCTGCAGATGCGCTGGTCAGGGCTTGTATCCCAGGGATAGTGCGGCTGAGGATAGTCTGAGAACGTGTCCAGGACCTATCCTCTCCTTCTGGAAGTGACACCCAGACAGCACCAGGCAGAGAGAGTTGACTCCTCAGAAGGACCATTGAGAGCCTTCTACAAAAGCAAGTTCGATTTGCAGACACCCTGAAAGAGGGCTGCTGTTGTGATTCTCGTTGTGATAACTCACCATGCTAGCCTGTGAACTGCTGTAAACTTTGTTGGTAGTGTCATCTCAGTCAAGGAGACTTTTTTTTTCCCTCTGACTTCATGACTGCTGCCAGGAATGTACTGTGTTTCTCAGCTGGATGACTTCTCCTAAGTTAATGGAGCTGCAAGGGATGATCCATGGGATCTCCCATTCAGCTCACACCTTCAGCCCATCTCTGTGGGAGAGAAAGGGAAGTGCTTTCAAGCCTGTCCTACATGCTTTCCTACACGCTGCTGCCTTGAGATCTTGTCAGGAATGGCAATGAGCCTTTGCTCCTCTTGTGGCTCCAGAAGGGCAAAAAGAGATTGCATAATCCTGATAAGGCTGTTCTTTCCTGTGTCTTCCTTCTCACTCCTTGCTCCTCCAGCTGTTTCTCTCCAAGCTCCTTGCCTGGTGCATCTCCCTTGGCCTCTAGTCTGACTTGCAAAACTGTAAAAGTAATTCTTTGCACAGTGGTATCAGGTGCACCACACCAAAACTGAAGTAGCAATATTGCAAATAAAAATCTAAAGGGTGAAAAGGCTATATGGTAATCTTTTTCATACATCCAGCTAGTAATTTAAATAATTTTTTAATCTCTTCTGCAGTCTGAGAAGTTAAGGACTTTTCCTATCACCTTATATTGTAGGCACATTTAACAGTAAAAGCTTTAAAATATTTTATTTGACATAAGTTCAACAGAAAACAAAATCCAGGCTTCTTTTCCAGATATAGGTTAGTCCCCATTAGGGATGTGGATAAGAGGAAGACAAAGTAATCAGTGAATTCATGCCTGGTTCAAAGCTCAAAAACCCCTTGATTGGTCAAGTCACTCTTAATTTGCTGTGTTTATCTGGAATGGAAAAACCTGGGTTTCCTTGGGACAGACACTTGGAAGGATTTGACCCAGCTGGTGACATTAGCCTTTAGACCTCATGGACCAGCGTGACAGCTGCTTGTGTCTGGTGTTGATGAGGTGCTAAAGCTGTAGATTTTATGAAGTGTCTCTGTCCCATGTGTGACACTGGAAAGTATGGGTTGGTGGAAGACTCCATCTGAGGAATTTGAACAATGACATATGGCAATTAATAACTGCAGTGCTTTGCACTGACGTTTATTTTGAAAAGCAATGGGTCTCTGCATTTCAATTATTATTTTTAGTTTTGTTTAGCAGCTATTTAATTTTGATAAACATATTGCGTATGTCTCTTTCACAATGTTTATATTTCAGCTTTCTCACCAAACCAACTGTTCACAGCACTTGCTTTTCCCTGTTACCAGATCTGCTATTTGCTTTGTCTCAGTCCCATCACCACTATTACTAAATTAAACTGTATTCCTTTTTCTCCAATTATTCAATGGTAAAAAAAAAAAAAAAAAAACCACCAAAAAACAACTATTCTGAGCTTCAGCAATAGTCCTCTGAAAGAATGAGGAACAACTGTCAGAGTGATTCAGTCCCAATTTTGCATGGAGTGGTCGCTTTCTGTCACTCAGGGAACAATAGTGGACAGTGACTGTAGTAACTCCAGGCACTGCACGCCCTTGTCATCTCAATGATTGTACATAATGATGTGCGAGCTCTTACACAGAGCCTGGGCTGCTGAAGCTGCTTAGAGCAGCTAACAAATTGAACACATCAAGTACTCCACAGGGCATATGTTGCTTAAGGTTTTGTTGTGGCTGCCAGCTACAAAAGCAGGCAAAACTCTCTGCTAAAGGCAAGATCAATTACAATTCAAACCCTTCATTTTCCTAATCCTTTTGAAAATATGTTCCCCTTACTGCATTTGCCTTGGTAAATAGGGTTGGCATGGCAAAGAGTCTGTTGAACAAAAATAGCATATTTGGAGTTCCTGAATCCAATAAGAATGGATTGAGCTGGTGTTGTCAAGTACCTAAATAAAGGGTGTAGAACGTATAAGCCAATTAGTTTATATTGGCTGTTTATTAATGAGATTTGAAATAGTTTGACCATCCTTGATCTAAGAGACTTTGCCTATACAAGTTGTATCTTCTCAGGAAACATATTTTGGGAGTTTTTAGTATAAGAATCTTATTTAATCTGCTACTGAAAACTTTTAGTCCAGAAGTATGGCATACAGAGCTTTCTCTGGTAGTAGTTTTAGTAGTGGATTTGTACTATAAAACCTGACATTTTAGGAAGAATAAAAAAGTCCTTATTTGGCCTTTTATTAGAAAGAAAACAAAGAAAAACAAGTGGAAGAAAGATTGAAGGGAGGATAAATGTATGCATTTACAGAACTGTAGTTGAATAGCAAAGAAAAACAAAAAAGTGAAAAAATAACAATTTTGAATTTGAAATTGTAGAAACATTTATTTTAATGTTTTCTTCATTTTACAAGCCATGCAAATGCTATTATTTCACTGTCCTTGAACAGCAGAGCAAAGATGACAAACTAAGACAATTTGGAAGTTGTTAGGCATGCCTCATTTTGAGGCAACAATTCAGATTGGCTACCACTGGCATCCAGGACAAAGCATCAGCTCAATTCACTGCATTCAGGACCGATATCCCAGGTGAATGTGGAAAAACAGGTAGTTTCTCAGTTCTAAACATCAATTTCTAAACATTTCAACATTCATGATAGTTCCCAGCACAAGTTAACTTGTTTGCTTATACAGCTGTAAGAGCCCATGTCTTAAAAGGTTTACACTTTAATCATTACATTACTGATTGTCTCAAAGTTTGCCTAAACATGTAATTTTTTTCCTCACTTTAAAATTTTTTAATATTTCGAGAAGTTATAATTTTTATTTGAATGTGTTACTTACCCACTTATATTTCAAATAAAAATCAATCTTTTTAGCGAAAGTGGGGAGATATTGCTGAAGTACCAGGTGGGGAAGTTTTTTTCTGTAAGTTTAAAATGTAAACATTGATGATGCAAACTGAATTAAACAGTAGTTAATTGTTGAGTATTTGATGAATTTTAGGAAGATTGTTTATAGTATTTTTTAGTAGTAGGCAACTGCAACAAAACAGTTCAACAAGATATAGAGAAATTCATTGTAAAACAGATAAGAGATGTTTGAAGTTTATGACACTGTACCATGCAGCAGCTATTTGTAACATATACTTAGCAAAATCCAATGCTGTTCGGTTACAATTAATTTTCATGGTGCTTGTTGCCTCCTTTACATTTTCTCCTGTCTCTCATTCCTCAAATTTATTATGCAGAGGTTATGCTCATTTTTGGAGTGTGCTATACTTGTTTGTTTTCCTTATGGCTCTCCCCAGCTGCATGTGTGACCCTGGCCAAATCACAAATTATTTGAACCTCTGTTAACTTATCTCTTAAGCAGATCAAAAAAGCATTTCTTTAATTGTTGCAGTTCAGTAAAAGGTGTGAGGTTCTAAAGTAGAAAATACACTTGTTAATAGAAGGTAAGGCAGCCAATATAGATATATATATTAAGTCGTACCCCACTTAGAGGTAAAATATCAAGAACACTGTAATCCACTTCTGTCCTCAGCCAGAATGGATCACTTAAATTATCAAATGAATAGTTGAATGTTTTATTGGGGTGAGAGGTTGCTTTCATGTCTCATGTTTCTGGCTTTAAGGAATTCAACACTTAAAACTTCGTATGGCAATCCTTCAAGCTGACACATCAGTCTCTTGTCACATATTTCATCCATCTATGAGAAACTCTCAGGAACACAAACCACTAATGCTGAAAGCTGTTTTAAGGCTTGTTTTTATATTTAGTCTTCTTTAGTTTTGGTTTTGGGGGTTGTTTTGCTGTGGGGGGTTTTTTGACACTTTTACTTCATGTATAGGCCCATCAGTCCAGATATGTCATGGTACTCAAGTTGTCTCTGATTTGACATTTGAATAATGTGAAGTTGGGCTGTTTGTCACAAACTGGGGTTGAGGCACATTTCCAAACAGATTTACTCAGGGAAGCAAAGTTGTTTGGTTGAACATTGGGGCAGGCAGACCTGAGAGTGCCGGGCACTGGAGCAAGACTCTGACAGCAAGGTTGAAACAGACTTTAGATCTCTCTCTGGAGGCCATGAGCTCTGTGCTGATACCCATAATTTTTAGGTCCCTGCAAGCAGCGAGGCTAAATGTAGCTGTGTGAAGGTTTGATGTTTGGTATAAATAAGGCTTCTTCTGTTGTTAATTAAGAGAACCAGGACCTCAGGAGGATAACTCAGGCCCTGGCCTGGGATGTGTGGATAGATGCCACCTGATGTGTCCCTCTGGAGTGCTCTGTGAGGGAGTGGGGAGCAGGCTGTGCAGCCAGGTGTACTCACTAAAGCACAGGGTGGTCCTGCCTCATCAGCTGCTTTTTGGAAGATGACAAACAACTTTTCAAACCTTATGCGACAATGGTGTCTCTCACGTGGGG